AAAAAAAAGAAGTAAAGATGCCCAGTTTGCAGATTCCATGGAACGTGGTGAAGAATGAGACAGCCACCTTAATTCCAGGAGAAATGGATCCCAAATCCCATAAACCAAGAAGGCACAAATTATTAGCTTTCAGAGCCATAGGAAACATGCTGCTTAGCACAGAGTGTAGAGCTCTGCAGTTTGATGGTGTGAGTGTTACATGTGGCTCAGCCCGGGCAGGAGGCCTTTCAAAGCTCTCAGCTCTCCAAGGGAGGGTGGGAGCAGGTTGCAAAACACATGGCACTATGCCTGGATCCAGGGGCCAGGGTTGGTGTTAATCTCCCTCCGCAGTTTTGTCATGCTCTTTCTGAAGCTCAGCATGTGTGTCCCAGCATGGACTGGCGACTGCTCCGCTCAGGTTTCCCCTCACAGAAACAGATGTCTGCAGGAGGGCCAGGCAACCCTGCTACAGCGCATTTAGAGCAGCCGTGGCAAGAAACTATCAGTGTGAGGTGTAAAGGGGAGGGCCCCATCACCAAGTCTCTCCTTTAGAGAAATCTAAAAATGCCATTTGACATAGAACTTCATGCATAAAAACACAGTGACATCCTTTGCTTTCAATGCTTTGCTCCCAGTATTAGTTTGAGAGCTTGTAATTGGAGCTTAGAGTACATTTCTCTGCCCCTTTTGGAGCTAGCATGTATGGAGTTCACTGAATTTTCTCCAGAAGAAACGCTGAATCGCCACAAAGCTGCACAAGCTCAGAAGAGGCTACATCTAGGTAAATCTCCTGCCATTCAAATGAACAATATCTCAGTTTCTCATCTGGAGAGTCTGTTTCTCCCACAATTAAAAGGCCCTGTTTTCAAATTATCCACAAGGAGTTTGTGTGTGTGTGTGTGTATGTGTGTGTATGTGTATGTGTGTGTGTGTGTGCGTGCGCGTGTGTGTGTGTGTGTGTTGGTTTGGGAAGGGAGAGAAATTTTCTGAGTCTTCCAATAATTACTAGATGTGTCTCAAAGTATTACTCTCCAGTGAAAGAGTGTGGAGAAGAAGAAGTTGGTTTGTGGTTTGATATCAACAGCTGAAAGGAATACAACAAAAAGGAGCATCAAAGAAAACTGGAGTTTTGTCATCAATGCCTCTACGCAGAACAACTTTTATAAGACGAAGATGCTGGAGGCTGAAAGGCTATGGGACAAATTTGCAAGCCAAAGTCCCGGGAAAACCCCAAGGCTGTCAGGAATCTTCTACCTAAGACATCACTTGACTATTTTAGAAAAATGGCTATTCACAGAAGAAAAATGGCTATGTAGGATTTCACTGACAATATTTATTATTTTTCTTTTCTTTTTCTTTCTGAGATGGAATTTTGCTCTTGTCACCCAAGCTGGAGTGCAATGGCACTCTTCATCCCGTGTGACCTCTGCTCACTGCATCATCCCAGCTCCCTTCCCCTCTGTTTTCTGGTTGGATTCAGCCAATGAGAAGCACTTGGAAGAGATGTGCAGGAGATGTGAAGGTGGGAAGAGGAGACAGAGTGAGGTCAGAGGTTCCTTGCATTAAAACCAAGGGTTAGCAGTGGCTGTCTTTCTCTGGAAAATGTCACAGCCCCCACCGTGCTGTGTTCTCCAAAAGCTACAGCTATTTCTTAGGTTCCTGATTGTTTTTCCCTCCTAGTGCCCCTTCAAACCTAAGGCTGGTGAAGACTTCCAGCTGTTGCTAGCCCAACGGTACTTCACCATTCTTTGTTCCTTTCCTGTATAAACTGCCTCTTTGTTAAACTCTCCTGAGTAATCCCTCTTGAGTGCACTTTTTGTTTCCTGTTGGGACCTTGACTGATGCCCTCAGTATGTCATGGGTGGCACACATCTTCATGGAGCAGTGCAGTAAAGTACAATGGCCAATGATGAACAAGCAAGAGAAAACAC